GGGGGGGCGAAATTTGGTTCGCCCTCAACCACAATTTGCACCACTGAAACCAATTGCTATGTTTCCTATATTCCTACTAAATAAATGTTAATTTTTAGTTGTGAATTCAAAAAATCCTAGCGACATATCACCTTAAAGTTGAAGTTTAGGAGTAAAATAAGAAAATAACAGAAATAAAAATAGATGTGGTCTTCATGAAAAATAGATGGGCACATATATTTTCTGGTTTGTGCTTAAATATCACTTTATTTTTTAAAGAAAATTCATTTTAAACAAAATCAAATTATATTAAATAATATGTCGTTGCCTACATTTGAAAAAAATTCATTTGAAAACACAGAAGCAACGCCCGGATAAAAAGGGTTGCGGTTGGAAGATTTAATGGCGAATTGTGACGTCATTTGTGGTGTGGGTGAAAAAATGGTGTGGTATGGCTTAACCCCTGCTCGTCTCATCCTTTGTGGACATACCCTGTATTAAAAAATATGCAACTTTCTCCTTTTTATAATTCAGGGGAAAATATTCCCACAGCCTTTTATCCTGAAGGTTTATCTTGGAGGTTTTGAAGTATTTCCTCCAAAAACACTTTGTTGTTGTAGATTCTTTATTACTTAAAAAGCTATACTTGGTAAAATTATTATTGACTGAATAAGGATTAAGGCCCACAAGGGCAGCAAGCAAAAATATACCAATTTAACATTTCTAAAAATAGAATTAAAAGAACCTTTCAAAGCTGTCTCTTTCCCATAGATTTTTTATTGTAACTAAGGATTCACTCAAAAAAATATATTGAAAAATAAACCAAAGAAATTTTATTGAAAAATGAAAAAAAAATACGGTTTAATATCTCGGCAGTCCAGATTATTATTAAAGTTTCAGCTGTTTAATTCTAACATTGAAAAACTCTAATGAATATAAATTTTCTTATTACCATTCACCCTGCAGTACAGCCATAAACACATTTGTTTCTTTACTCCATGAAGTCCATATTTTTAACCAAGAACAATTTGTTTAAATGGTTTCTTTTTGTGCCAGGGGCGTAAACAATTTTTTTCCCAGGGGGGGGGCTTTACCTTATCTAACTTTCCATGAGAGGGTTAAAATTCTCGCCCCACCCTGCCATGCGGCCTTTAGCCCCCCCCCCCCC